CTTTTAACTAATTTTGTATAATGTGAATCACGTACTTTTTGCAAAATTCTTTGTATCTTTTAATATTACAGCAATATGATTAATAGTGTGTATTATTTGTACTCGTTTGTTTTTAATGTACAACTAATTAATGTACTCGATAGGGAGGGAGGGGTCAGATTTGAACGCTGACCCACTTGTTCACTCCCCGTAGTCTCTAAGGGTATGTTCCCGATTTAGTGATAATGAGCTCATCTGATCGCGGTAATGATCAGTTATGTCAATATGAGTAAACAAGTTTCACATTTCTCCAAAGTAAGTCCATATACTGTATCGTTTAGTTATTTATAAATAATACAAAAATGAGTTTTGAACTATTTGTAGAGGACATTGAACATATACCACAAGTATATATACTTTATATGTATAATCAGCTTCAGAGAGTCACATAGGGTCACATTCCTATATGTACGCTTGCTGTAAAACCTTGGCCTTTTGAATTAAAAACCACATTTTTTATCGTCATTTGTGTGCAACAGCTATCTAACACATTGAAAAACCAAGAATCAGACATTTAGATAATAGCTTTGCCTTCTTCAAACAAAAACAAAAAACATTTCATTGCCTGATCTCTAGAGATAGTATTATGCACAATCATTTAGATTTCTGTGGTGAAATAAAAACACGTCAAGATAGAAAATAGTTGTCAACGGTACATCAGTACTCATCAGCGCAGACAGATACAGAATGTCGTCACATAAGAAGGGGGTTGAGAGTTAGTTATCTGGTATTATTACTTTTCACACCACCATATTTATACTATTTTTTAACAGTGAAAGAGCGCTTATTTGACACTACAGCTTTCAAATTAGAAAAATATTTTGCTATGATCCACAATGAAGAACATGCATGTTGGACGACATGACCTTAATACACATGTCTATTTGACAAAGACTGCGGTTAAATGCTGCAGTCAATAAATATTAGTTAACACTTACAGATGTACGCATCTCTTTCGCGACATCTCCCAAACTGCTGACACGTCCCTGCGCCAATTTTAGCACGTCCACGTGGTCTATCTGGGCGAGTGACGGGTCGGATGAGAAGCTGTAACCTGTACATGGTTCTTGAAGATTTCGGGCATAAGGTTGTTGAGAAAACAGCAACTTATCATTTGAAGTGCTGGTAACAGGGTGACCGGTCACATGACCAAAAATGCAAAGGATGATGAACAATTCTATCAGAAAAAAATTTGGAAATTTTATGGGTTATATGTGATTTCTAGCGATTACTTACAAATACGAAAACACTGAAAAAAATTAAAATTACAAACGTAACGTTTTCCAAAAAGTTGATTAATTAAAAGCTTTTATAACTACTTGATAACTATAAGTTGATAAAATACTATATCGGGAGAGAAAAAAAACAAAAAAACAGAAGATGAAAACCTCAACTACTCACTTTTTCTTTTTTTTAAAGAAAATGTTGAAAGGGAGATATTTAAATTTATATAAATTATGACCAAGAGAGAGACAATAAATTACGAAAAAATGTGAAAAGCAGTTACGTTTTAACATAATAACGGTTAGGGCTATTGATTTCATTGATTAACGTTGGTACGGTGGGCAACTGATGTAATGATAAATACAGTAGTGTTTTCTCGGAGCCCTCTGTATACAATATATTCTGAAGTACTGGTGAGAAGTTTAATTCCATTAACATGGCAGTGGGGGCCAATGAGAAGTATAATAGGGCCAAACCTAAAATAAATCAAATCTAAAATTAGATGCCATTATCTCCGGGGGGGGGGGCGAAATTTCACGAAGGTCCCCAGCCCACTGGCCTCCCCGTCAGTGGTGACACTGTTTAAATTTAATCTTTCTTTGAAAAGCTGGAGGTAATGAATTATTTTCCAGTTTCTTGTAGCACTTATTTTAATGTGCTTTCTAAAAGCTGTACTTGTTCACGCACCATTACATAGCACATGCATGTTCCAAAAGATTTTATCATATAATTGGTAACCTCCCTCACTGGGTGATTCTAAGTACGCCACTGAAATTCCTACAAAGATGTACTTTAATATTTCCCAAACGATATTTATTGAAAACAACATCTGTACTATCTAATGTCAACAGTACTTCCATAAATCTTTCTCTCTCTCTCTCTTCTTGCTACGTCAGATTACAAAATTAATTGTAATCTTCATTATTTTGACAACTTACTCTGTTATTAACAACTAGTAAAATATACTGTACAAATGTCATATTAACGTAGACGTCAGACTTGTTTCGAAATCAGTACGATAACTATAAAATTGATTGAGAATGGTGCAAGTAGCCAATTTTGGGTGTGCTATTGTCCTTCCAAAAAGAACTTGACAATAAAACACCAACTTTATGATTTTGACATACACCTCAGACTTCTATCATAAAGTCAATGTAGATATACTATATCATAAACCAGATATTAACTAATGATTAAAATGGATAATTATCAAGTTAATATATATTCTGGCATCCATTTATATCTTTAAAAAAACAAAACGAAAGAGAAATACATATTTTTACGTAACATTTGCCTTCACTAGGGTTTTAGAACTACTGTTTCAATATTGTTGTCTCCACCGCCACTGGACACTTCAAAATAATCCACAGTATAATTAAGTATATGTATGTATGTAGTACTGTATACTTAACATATGTTTTTTCATCTAAACATAGTAATACACGCCTTATTTCGAAAGTCAAAGTTTGTTCATAATTGCTGTTATTGTATTATTTTTACGTCTTTTGAAATATAACCAATTGTATGTTCTCCATAATAGCCTCAGTGTGTGCAACTGTTCATCCTTTTGGAATTTAAGAAGCTGAATGTAAATTTTCTAAGAAACGATATTTCTACTTACTTTTTTTTTGTAAAAGTTTTAACTGTTAGTTTAACTTTATCGAGATTAATTTGGGATTACATAAAATTTATAATCTAACCGTGCATATAATTCTGTCTGAATATGACATCTGTCTGTTTTGCCTTTCTCTTATACTTCATTATTATATTCTTTTTCTAACGAAGAGATAAATGACAGAACTTTCAGTTTCGCACGTGATTGATGACGTGAGCAGCGCCTATCTTTTGTCACAGCTATAAATGTTTCCTGTTCTTTTATCGAAGTACAAAGATGATACTGAAACCAGCACAGCTTTTCTACTTCCCAATAAAACATTAAGGCTTCAATTCTTTAAACTATATTTTGTATCGCTGTTAAATGCACTGAAGTATACTTCCTATGTTACAGATCAAAAACGATAGAACTCATCAGTTGATCGTCAATACGGATAATAAAAAAAACGACTACCTCTTCTTTTCTAACTTCTGTCCTTGTTTTTTCTTTATTTTCTTTTTAACGTGATGTGTTAATGTGAATGTAATCTTAGCCAGAATAATTCCAAAGTTGAATACTGAATTCCTGATCTCTAATTGAAAGAAAATGTTACTCATACATACAGAACAAGTTTGTAGATATACGGGAAGGAACAAGGCAAGTTCCACAAATACAGACTACTTGCTCACCTTATGATTTTAACTTTTAACGTGTCGCAAAGGAATTTAAGTTATATATCTGTTACATGTGGCTTTATAATGATCAAGTTTTATTTGTGTCTCTGGGGTTGTCTAATAATAATCGGTTATAAGCAATTACGCAAGGCGCATCATAAATTCTAAAGTGTGCTGGTATTTCTATAAATAGACAAGGTTGTTCTTTTAGCGGGCTAGAGTAATACTCTACTACGTATAACGAGACATCTGAATAGCTACATCGTACTTGGATAATGCCACGGACATTTGTGACCATTGATAACTTTTCGGCTGGCTAGTTGGTATTGGATAGTAATAAAGAATCTCGCGATCTACGGAAGAAGAAAAAAGAAACCAAGGACGAACGGGATTAACGGGAAAACGGAAATTATCACGAAAAGGAATCACTATAACATTCAATCGAGGACTGGCACAATTAACCCCCCAGCAAAGGTTCAACATCCAGTGACATAAATATAGTTAAGTAGACGAGTTAAGGGTTTTGTATAAATATTTAATTTGTCCACTACTGTATTGTAAAGTATATGTGATTTTGTTCATTGTTATCCATTAAAGTTTATACAAAAGTAGCATAACTTTGCCTTTCAATTGTTGCCTGTGTCCTTGCGTCTGTTGGACAATTCCATATGTAACATATTTCTGTCTCACCTACGTTTTCTACACTTTTATGAGCGCTTGTGTGTCAAAACTATGACTTAGTTCAATAACTTGTAAAACTATTTAAATAAAATTCATGAAATGTTTCTTCATAAACTGTTGTTAAAATACACGAAGCTGTTCTTTCTTGTTTGTTAAAGAGTTGTAATATGCAGAACTGCATATTTCTGATTTTAATTATCATTATTTTCTCGTTTGTTTATTTTTGTTTTTTATCTGATCCAGTTTTATTTATCGTAATGTTGAACAAATGTTATTGAAATTAGATAAAACATGTTTGCTTGTTTATTTTGTTGCTAAGCGCAAAACTACAAAATGGGCTATCTGTTTTAGTGTTAAGTTTTCAGACTTGCCGCTGAGCTACTGGAAGACAAATTAGTAATAAGAATAATAAAATATATAAATACCAATTAAATTTACCTATGCTCTAGAATTTTTTTTTGTAGTTACAAATATTGTTAGGTTAAATTAAAGAAAAGAAGATGATAAATGAATGCTTTGTAATCAGTCGCCAGTAATTAAAGATATTTGTGAGCGACCAATTCAACTTAATGCGATTTTATAAGCAATTGCTAATAATTCTTTATTTTAATTACAAATATTGATAGCTTTGATTAGAGAAGACTATTAGCCACTATCCAGTTTTACGACGTTTTCTAAACAATTATCAATAATCCATTACTGTGAATGCCTTTTTCAAGTTGGGGAAGCATGATTTTAATCAATTTACTCGTCATTAACATTAGTATTTAGGCCTATTATATTTTAACACTGCATTCTATATCTAGTCCGTTACGGATTTTCAAGAATTTCATTAATAGTATTCCAACCCTCTATGTTCTTTGTATCCATAGTTGGAATACTATAGTTACGACAGCGGAAGTCACGTGACGCTAGTAACACGTAATGAATATCTCGAATGTTCCTGAAGGCTTGAGTGTTTGCCAGACGCCCTCTATTTTGTATATATGAGACCGGCGAGAAGTGACGGCATAGATAATTGAATAGCAGACAGGGAGATAGAGACAGATAATCGAGTCAAGCCGTAAGTAAAGTGTGTGAATCATTGTGAATTATAGCGTGTGTTTAACTTCAAGTGACTGTGAAAATTAAGTGTATTGCAAAGTTGTATTGAGAAAGAATAAACTAGTTTTATTTAAGAAAGAACTTGTATCACTGAAGTTTTTCCGAAAGAATTTTTACGGGTAATTAACAAACGACCAGAGGTGTAACAAATTGGTGTCAGAGAGTGGGACAAAAAAAAATGGAAATGAGAAGTGGCAAATGAAACTACAGCTTAGCAGATTTGATGGCAGCAATACAAGAGCAGCAAAAGAAACATGGAGAACGAGAAAATAAACAAGAAGAGAGATTACAGCAGCTGTTGGAGGAGAAAGAAAAGAAACAAGAAGAGAGATTACAACAGTGGTTGGAGGAGAAAGAAAATAAACAAGAAGAGAGACTACAGCAGTGGTTGGAGGAGAAAGAAAATAAACAAGAAGAGAGACTACAACAGTGGTTGGAGGAGAAAGAAAATGAACAAGAAGAGAGACTACAGCAGTGGTTGGAGGAGAAAGAAAATAAACAAGAAGAAAGTATCCAACAGTTGAGAGAAAGCCAGATTACACAAATTGAAAACATTAGTAAATTTCAAAGCGAATTAAATACAATGGAGAATTATTTACTGTCTTTTACACAAGGAGGATATAATAGCCATCGACCTAATCAGCCTCAGACAATGGGAAGCCCCTTCCAGACCCCGCAGCTAAACCTTAATACAGACATCTTCAGTCTTGTTAGAAGTCACATCCCAGATATGAATGTCAGCAATAGGGGTAAAATAGTACGAATGAAGCCACAGTAATTCGATAAGAAAACACCGTGGGAAGCATGTAGAGCACAATTTGAGCACCTGGCAGAGATGAGTGGATGGACAGAGGAGCAGAAAGCAGTATATCTGACAACGAGCTTGAAGGGACAACCACT